ACTTTTATAACAACATTGTTATATGTACAGGGCGACTTAACTTTGTAATTTCATTCATTTTAAGGGCGCGTTGTCCTGTCGTCGCTAGCGACAAAACAACAAAGTGCCAAACGGCGCGTTGTCGCGCTGTCCCCTGTCGTCCTGTCTCTAGCGCGGCACGCCAAACGTCGCGATGTCGTTGTAGCGATGTTCCACTGTCGCTTGGCTTATAAGCCAATCCTTCAATTTGAACCGAGCGACAATGTGACATCGCGACAACACGCCGCATTACAACACGCCGTTTGGCGTGCCGCCCTAGAGACAGAACGACAAGACGACAGCGCGACAACGTGCCGTTTGGCGCTTTGTCGTGTTTTCGCTAGCGCCAACGCGACGCACAAAAGCGTACCAAATCAGCCACCATAGGTTCATAGCGTCTGATTTTGAAAACGCTTCTTAATAGAAACAGTTAGGATCATAATGTGCCGAACCAGCTGAACAAGTATCTTGAAAATACAGAAAAAATGTTTGAAAGTGTAAGTTTAAAGTTGCAACAATATTACTAGCACAAAAGGCCGTTAGCAACGTGAACGATTAAGTGATAATCACTAATCAATGAAGTTCAAAGCATATATTTAAGAATGTACAAAAGAAACATTAGCCATTTAATGATTTAATATAAATATAAGGATCTTAGACGCGCTTTCCTTCTGACCTAATTTCAATGAATGTTTAAATAGTAAGTTGTCACAGAATTATCGTCTATGTAAGAAATATATCTAAAATATTGAAATGTGTGAATTATTTAATCATGCGACAATTATCTCGAATTTTAGTTTGAAAATGGCATTTAATAAATGACGAAAGCATTTCAATTGAAAAGAATAGTTTATGCAAAAAAAATTCTTTGACTTTCCTTCTTAAAGTATAACAATTTTCTTTTTAAAGGAGACCTTGATTTAAACAATGGTCTGTCTCGTTACTTAACTGGTGAAAATGAAACATAAATATTGAATGTAAGTATATTAAATTTAGTTTTGTGATAAAATATATAACAAGAACTGTAACCTATAGAAACGATAAAGTTTGATTGATATATGTACATGTATATGTTATCAGCGCTTAAATTCACCTGAAATAGGAAACAGGATTTCTTCTTATTCAGTACGTAATTAGGAGTGAGTAAACTCTTAAATCGAATAATTTTTTTCCGAAATAATTAGTTTATTTGCTTTTCCCTTCATGAAAGCGGTGTTTTCCTATAATTAGGAATGTTTAAAACTTTTAATCAAGGATAAATGTTACAAAATAATGAATACTAACCATGGATAGTGCATGTTCCTGTCTCCGATTCTTCTGACAGGAAATAAAATGCAAATCATAGAACTTCGTATTTATAATAACAATGTTATTTTTAATTTAACAGTTAAGTATTTTATACACTGTATTGACAAGCCCGTCGCGTGACTATAGTGGGTAAACAAACACAAACAATACTGTTGTTGAAAGTTAAAGAAAAAGAAAGGACTCATGATTTACTCTAAAGGTCACATTTGTTTCTACAAATGTACAGTTGCAGCATTTACTTGTAAATACAAATGTAAAGTGAAAAAGGGGCAATGAATAGGGAATGAATGTAAGAAAATACACTGATTGCCTCTCAATTTTGGAAAAGTCATGTTGAAGTATTTTCTTCCACAAAAGGTCTGTCAACGTTCACTGTAATATCACATTTACAGGGTAGATCTTGCATCTTACACATAAAAAAAAAGATTACAAGATAGGCAAGACATATAGTAGCCATGTACAAAACAGGTTTAATGATGAAATCCTTTTTGTGGTTATATTTATAAAATGAGCCGCTTCATGACAAAACCAACATAATGGGTTTGCGACAGCATGGATCCAGACCAGCCTGTGCATCCGCACAGTCTGATCAGGATCCATGCTGTTCGCTATCAGTTTCTCTACTTGTTATAGACTTTGTAAGCGAACAGCATGGATCCTGATCAGACTGCGCGGATGCACAGGCTGGTCTGGATCCATGCTGGTCGCAAACCCATTATATTGGTTTTGTCATGACACGGCTCATTTGTGAAAATCAAGGGTGTTAAGAAGTGATGAGGGGAGACAACTGCGTTCCAGTCTGGGCTTCTATTCGTCAACCGACTACATATCTTTCATAAACCGTCACGTACTCGTACTAAATAAATTAGCAAATTAGATCAACGCCTGAACCGCAGGCTAAGCTTTTAAATATAAGTTTTCTTTTTCATCTATAGGTCTCATTATGATATTTAAGCGCTTTGTCGTGGAACGGAAGTTTATTGTTGTTGTTTTAATATATTTTAGAATAATGCTCCTGGTAGGCTGAACATTATTGCCGTTCTTTTAAATCTAAAACGTATCGGCATGCGTCGAATTTCGTTAAAAAACAACAGTTGTGGGTCTAATAAAATCACGTGTACTGTAAAAAAAAACATTGTGTCGGTGCCCCCATTATATTTTTAGTCATTTAAACTGAGTATACATTTTGAAGGACGTTTAAAGAAAAAAAATATTTCAGTAATTTTTAAATATGCCGAAAATTGTAGCTATACTAAACGTCAAATTTTACATAAAATTGCCAATTTTCTTTCTAATTTTCAAACATTTTCCGGCGTAAATAGATAAATTTTATATCTCAGCATAAAGGAAAAATATTTTCTGTCGATTACTGTAGAATCTAAGATATTTTGTTTGCCGATGTAATTGTAATACCAGAACAGTTGCCAAGGATACACAACGACGTCATGTTCCAAAACGGGCTTTGGTGGTCAACTTTGACCTCATGTGCACAAAAATGACTAAAACTATTTGAATTAAATCAGCGGAATATAATTTGAAATATGGTCAACTTTTTACATGCCAATTTTCAAGACGCTACTCGAAAGTTCGCAATGTCAAATTATCGAAATTTGCCATAAGTGACATTATGCTCAATTTTTTTGGATCATTGATTATACTTTTCATGGTTAAATATATGATTTACAAAATTATGACAAAATGTAAAGTTTTTCTATAACCTGTTCACTGATCATTTACACTTGCATGGATATAATGTCATAATGTTTTATTTCCTGTACGGATTTGATTTATACTTAGAAGAAAGAACACATATGATTAAACTGGCTTATTGAATTATTCTGATTTGACCTGAAACTTTATTTCACCTAAATCTACAAATCAAATTTTTGAAACTTGCTTAAAATGTCACAACTTTGTTATTTATTCACAGATTTGATTTATCCTTGAACAAAAGAGCAAATATGACACAACCTACATGTTAGAATATTCTGATATGACGACCTTCATGGTCAAGTTATTGTCGTCACTTTGTAATTTATCTATAAATTGTGTTCATTCTTTGTCAAAAGAACATTTATTACAAAGCTGGCAATGATGATTAATTCAAATAATACATTGACTGTCAATATCCAAGATGAAATTTGAACTGTAATTTGTTGAACACAGTTATGATTTCTAGGAATATTCATTGCTGCTATATTTTTCTTTCTTCAGAGTAATAAGAAAACGTTTCAAACGTGGTTGTCCTCTGCCGATTCATTTTGCTCAAAAGTGATACAGTGTAAGTGGTTTAATGCAGCTATCAAATATTCAAGAACATTTAAAAATGTTAAAAGAAAAAATGATCAAAGAATTATAACATCTGAAATTGCAATCATCGTGCTACATATGTCGAAGGTTTGTTTTAATGATCCAAAATATTTGATGTTGTACGATAGACCGGTGATATGAGGACATTTTAACCTTTACAGCATGAGCATATTGTGAAAATAGGCTGTTTTCATTGAAAAGCCTCCTGTTACAAGTTCAAACTGCTATGAAATTTTTTTAAAAATGCTTCAGTACTCAACAAACTTGCCACAAATGTTGACTGGATCATAGCCTTTGTTACAGCATGCTCAATTCTAAATTTCCTCTTACCACCATGTCAACGGGGGACATCTCTAAATTGCCAAAAATCACTATTTTGCGTTGTTTTCTTTTATCAAAACTGATTTTAAAGTGCTGCATCTGCTCAATGGATTTCGATAGAGTCAAAGGCTTTTCAGCGTTGGTTACACGTTACGTTAAGATCGACCTTAAGTCATTTTAACCTCTCACAACTCCAAACTTTTCTTGGTGATCGGGGGGGGGAGGGTCTGCTAACCCCCTTTAAATCTAAAAGCTGAAGGGACACATCCCCCTCTGACACCCCCTTGGTGTACCTATTTTATTAAGGGTGGCGCCAAAAAAAGTGATCACATTTTTTACATTTCTCAAAACACAAACAAGTGTTTGGGGCAAAAATATGGCATTTTATCACTATTTGAGGCCTCAAAAGGAGCTAGGTGGCTTAAAAGTCGTCTAACACGTCGATAGGATATTAAAGGTTAAGTTCAAGAATTAATGCCTTACATTATGAAGTTGAGATCACAAGTTCGTGAATTGTATATATAATGTTTAAAATGTAATTTATAAGTTTTTGTGTAGTTAAATGTACCAAGATTAAATGTCCAATAATGTCACACAATTCATTTTCTTTCTTTCTTGTCTTTCGGAAGCATTGTCTCTAATCCAGTTAGTTTATTCGGGGAGGTTGCGGGGTTATGATGACTCATTACAAACTGTGTACGAATGTCCTTTTATTGACATTCTGAGTGGCATATTTTCTGTTTGGTGTAATTTTACCATTGACCTTCTAATAACTTAGTGCTTTTAAAATTACTCTGGTACTATGACAAGAAAATATTCAATAAAAATGATCTGAAGTCACGGAATCAATTATAATGTAGCAAAATTGAATCAGCTGTTGTACCCCCGTACACATAATGTACATGAACGATATTTTATGGTTTATTCACTTAAAATATTGTTGGGGGTTAAGAGCCTATTTGTTTGCATTGGTTGATTTCAAACAATAATCTTTTGTTGTTGTGGGGTTTTTTTAGTCTCATAAAAACAAACAAGCCATAAAATAATGCTCTGTAAATTTATTCATATTTTCCAATTAAACAATAATAACTGAGATAAATAATCAAGTTCAAGATTTACATTTACTCACTCTTATCATGATTAAAGAAGATTAAGAATTAGTGAAGAAATACAGTTTCAGAAGAAACAGAGATAATGTTGTTGTTGTTGTCGCCATTCATGTGTTCTGGTTAGATATTTAATGGGTTTGTGGTTTTGATGTGTTGACTCATGGATTGTCCGGTACAGGTATTAGCGGGGTCGTCGTAAAAATCTGCAAAATATAAAGCCGTACAAATTTTTGCTTTCTTTAAAAAAAAAACAAAAAAAAAACAGACAAACCAACAAAAGTGAAGCACAGAATTCATAAAATATTGCTTGCTTTATGATTACCAAGTGGATTGGTTTCGACTAAATGATTTAGTCTGACCTGGCTTCACGAATATGCACGTATTTCTGACAATGACAGATTTTCAAATGCCAACAATTGCTGTCTAAGATACAAACATGTTTTGCAATGCGAATGGTTGCTACAGTTCCACAACAAGACAAATGTAAATCATGTTAATTCATATACCAAGGCGTTAAGAACATTTTATTTAGTTAACATTGGTCTAAATTATTTTAAGTGTTAGTTCTGATATCTGGTTTCAGTATGTAGGAAACAAATAGGTATATAATTGGCGATCGGTGTTTGTAGAAGTGGAAAGTAGTTGCCATTATTTTACGATCTGCCTCGAATGACACAAAAAGTCAAATTGTGCAAAGCATAATAATGTATTTGATATAAGTAGACAAAAAATGTACTCTGCCATAATTACCAAATCTTTTAAGCCTTTTCACAAAAGTAATTTCTTGCTTTTGAGCAGTCTTGTGTTTGCCAAAGGCCTACAGGGTTCATCAAAACACACTTTCCAGATGACAGTGGTTCGTCCGTAGCCCAGTTAGTGTAGGTTGGGGCCTGGTTCAAGTCTGCCCATTTATATGTATTTGTTCCGTTTACGTCAGATAGTCCAATCCATGCACCTGATATGAGGCATTTGATTATATTTTAGATAACTGAGCATGTGTATATTGTATTTTTATTAGCCAAATAAAAACCACAAAATATTAAAAATATTATATAACAAGAGCTGTCGGAAGGACAGCACGCTCGACTATTCTAAGTGCTTGATAGTAAAAGAGCCTTGATAATGTTAATTTTTTTAAGTTCACAAAAGGGCTAATTTTTTTTTTATAAATTCATGTTATAGGCCTTAGAGAGAGTCTAATTATACAGTATTGGCTTGACTATTCGGAAGGTAATGTCACAAGGGTGTTTTATTGAATATAATAATACTAATTACCTATGAAAAATAAATTTGACAGACAAGGTACAAAGGCTTGTTATTAAGATGTTTTATCAAGAAATCACTGCTTTATTATTATGAATGCATAAAATTGTCCCAAAAAAGGCACAAAGTGACAAACCCTTCAGTAGTTATTGAGATAACAGCTTACAAACAAAACTTTACCATGAATTTCTAAGTTGAAAAAGGGGAGAAAAATCAGCCTAAATACAAGATAGAATTATGGATCTTTGTCAGTGACCTACAATTATAACCCTAAATGCATATGTGAAGTTTTAAATAAATATCTTTAATAGTTATTGAGATATGTAAAACTTGCATGTAAACATTAACCAAGAGACTAAGTAGAAAAGGGGATATGAATCAGCCTTAATGCAAGATAGAGTTATGGAACTTGGTCAGTGACATACAATTATGACCCTCCAATTATGACCCTAAGTGCATGTGTAAAGTTTCAAGTAAATATCTTTGAATACCTTTAACCTTTAACCAAAATTACTAAGTTTCAAAGGGGCAAATAATACTGCAAATATTGCAGGCAGAGTTATGCAATTTTTGCACACTGATGTACATTGTTACAACAAAAAAGTATTTTAAATTTCAATTGAATATCTCAAGCAATAATTTAGATATTTGACTTTACAAAAAAACTTTAACAAAAAAGTTCCAAACGAGCATAATTCTGTCAATATTGTAGGCAGAGTTATCCCACTTGTCAATCTGATGTACCTTGTTACTTTAAATAAGTATTGTAAGTTTAAATTGAATATCTCAAGCAATAATTGAGATATTTGACTTTACAAAAAACTTTAACCAAAATTTCTAAGTTAAAAAGGGGCATAATTCTGTAAATATTGTAGGCAGAGTTATCCCACTTGTCAATCTGATGTACCTTGTTACAATAAATAAGTATTGTAAGTTTAAATTGAATATCTCAAGCAATAATTGAGATATTTGACTTAACAAAAAACTTTAACCAAAATTTCTAAGTTAAAAAGGGGCATAATTCTGTCAATATTATAGGCAGAGTTATCCAACTTGTCTATCTGATGCACCTTGTTACTATAAATAAGTATTGTAAGTGTCAATTGAATATCTCAAGCAATAATTGAGATATTTGACTTTACAAAAAACTTTAACCAAAATTTCTAAGTTAAAAAGGGGCATAATTCTGTCAATATTGTAGGCAGAGTTATCAAACCTGTCAATCTGATGTACCTTGTTACTATAAATAAGTATTGTAAGTTTCAATTGAATATCTCAAGCAATAATTGAGATATTTGACTTTACAAAAAACTTTAACCAAAATTTCTAAGTTAAAAAGGGGCATAATTCTGTCAATATTGTAGGCAGAGTTATCAAACTTGTCAATCTGATGTACCTTGTTACTATAAAAAAGTATTGTAAGTTTCAATTGAATATCTCAAGTAATAATTGAGATATTTGACTTTACAAAAAAACCTTTAACCAACGCAGACGCGGACGCGGACGCTGACGCCGACGCCGACGCCGGGGCGACTACAATAGCTCTCATATTCTTCGAATAGTCGAGCTAAAAATGCGTCCAAAATTAGTTTTTTTACTGATAAGAGAACATGCTCGTGTTATTACTTTTTGTATAAAGCAAATTAAATGATTAATCAGTTTGTAAGTATCAATGGACGTTAATCCATTATCATTAACTGGTTGGCTTAATTATTGTAACAAAAATGCTTGCTACGTTAAATTTATTGATTACAAGAACACGTAGACAAACATAAATTATAACAGGATTTAAGCAATAGAGGCACTTTTCATATACATATATAAACTAAGGGCAGATCAGGAATTATGTTCAGCTTGTAAGTTAAATTATATACTAAGTGACTGAAAACTCTTGATTGTGACATATAATACATGTACACCATTCCGTTCTACAGTCCCAATGTTATTGTTAAAAGGACCGTGTTGTAGATATGTTCCAATTGATACATTTCAAAAAAATTAATAGATATAGATCTATACCATTAATTATTAATCTATCTTTACAACGTTCTAATTGTTAATATCACAATTAAAATAATTATGTGTTGTTTTTTTTGTTGTTTTTTTGTTGTTGTTGTTTTTTTTTAATTTTTTTTACATGTTAGCGGGTACTTACTCATTGAGCTTTCCCTTAGATTTTTCAGGAAGTTTAACTCTCCTTCGCTTGTAATCTCTGCTAAATAGCCACCTTCATCAGAGCAGTCAGTCTGTTAAATAAAAATAAAAAACAGTTTCTAAATGTACGTTAATTCTGGATATTCTATGAATTGTTTTAAAATAACTTTATTGGTTATTGTCATCATCTTCAAGGTCTTTTCGGAAAAGAAACATATACGATAAAAGGTCTGCTGTAAAAGTATCCCTTCGACCAATGGATTAAGCTCGTTTTTTATCATGAACGCCGGAAGAACTTGAACGACTTTTAGCTTGCTTTTATGTATATAATACTATCATATTGAAATCTTTGACACAATTGAGTCATTATACAGCGATTTTCCTCAGGTTTTATACTGCTGGGAGCTTATGTTTTAATCCTAGAATCTTTTAGACTGGATAGGATATACGACTCAAAATTCAAAGCATGATACACTGAGTACAATAGATTTAGGGTTAAATGTTTTACCGAAGCTGCATTCCAGCCTAAAGATGAAAACGCTTCGTAGTAGTAGCAGTGAGAATCGTACAGTGTCCAACCAGCGGAACAAGGATCTTGAAAATAAAATAAATAACATGTTTGAAAGTATAAAGTTGCAACAATATTTACAAGAACATAAAAATCGTTAGCTATGTCAAAGAGTAATTGATAATCACTTATAAAGGTAGTTCAAAGCATTTGTGTAAATAAAGCGCTATTTAAAAAATACACAAACCATGTAAAATAGAGTTCAAGTTCGACTCGCATTCCTTCTCATTGAAATGAAACACTAAATTGTAATTAATAATAGTCACAGAATTATCCTCTTCTTAAAGTATCAAAATATGTATTTTATTTAATTAATTGACAATTTTTCCTAATCTTTGTTTGAAGATTACATCCAACGAATGCCGAATGTATGTAATGATCACTGAACTCGTTTTCAAGTTATGTACCTAACAATTAAAAAAAATGCAAATTTTAAATTTCAGTGGCAGACAATACACATTCAATGTTTCGCAGCAAAATTCCTTTTGACTGATAATGCATAATTCCCACTGCTTTGAAGAGAGAAATGTATTTGGTTTTCCTTTTTAACTAAAGGTGTCAAAAGAATATCTAGATTTTAAGAATAGTCCGTCTCGTTATTTTAACTGGTGAAAATGGAACACAAATATCGAATTGAAATGGAAATAAAGATATGTGACAATAGATAAAATGAGAACTGTAACCTATAGTTAAGTAAATATAGGTTTGTCTGAGTTATGTTCATGTTATCGGCACATTAAATTGCCTAAAATAGCAAAACATTCAATATCAAGGGCAGATAACTCGAAAACGTCAAATTAATATTTTCCCTTCAAAAAGGCATACTTTATATTTACCTAAATTGCATATTTAATCCTTATCATAAAGACATTACAAGTATATACCTTCAACACACGAGGGTGTTTCCCATCCATCACCAAGGCAGGTTATTGTACTTCCCATTGCAGGGACAAGCGCTCCAGGACATGTAACGGTTGCTGTTTCTCCATAAGTAGTGGTTGTGTTAGAGTTAACTAGTACCACTGTCATATTGGCAAACGATGGAGGCCCACAGTCTTTAAAGCAGAGATATTAGAATATATTGATTTATTGTATATACATATATATTTACATTAATACGCTTATTTGATTTCTATTTATTCCTTAGGTAATGTAATTATAAGCAAGTAAACTCTCTTACCGACTTACTACCTCTGATATAGTTTGTTTGCATGTTTTTCTCTCCAAGTATTTTCCTATTATTACTAATTGTTACACCAAGATAAGAAATAAAAACGATTTGCAAATGGTTGGACATAAAATTATTGAACTTCCAGGAGAATGTTTTAAACTTTAAATCAAGGATAACTTTTACAAATCAATGAATTCTAACCATGGATAGTGCATGTTGCTGTTTCCCAGGCTCCTGAAGCTAGACAGGAAATAACAGCAACACTTTCATCGTAACCTTCATTGCAGGTTACTGTTGCATTGTCTCCTAGTAAAGTGCCGCTTATAAGTGTAGCGCTCCCAAAATCTATTACTGGCAGTATGTCTCCGCAATCTGAAATGACACATTTCTATCTCTTTTAACATTACTTTTACGAATATAGAACAATGAAGCCATATGAATAGATTTATTTTGAATTTAAGAATATTTTTGATACATGAATAAACATATTATCCCCATAAATTGTTTTTCCATCATTGATTGGAATTTAAAAAAAACACACATGCTCACCTCTTTGGCATGTGGCAGAGCCCCATGATCCTGTCGACAAACATGAAATAGTTGCGTCGGATGAACCATAACCATAACTACATGAAACATTAGCAGTCGATCCATAAACAGTATTTCCATCGGTAAGAATGTATACCCCATTTGTCAAATTGCCAACGGACCCACAGTCTAGAAAAATAATATTGCTATATACAATATCTTGATTTAGAACTGAAAACATAACTTTGTTGATCTTTGAAGGAATACAATGTGTGTGTTTGGTTAATTATTCAAAGACACCGTAATGAACCATGGGCGAATATACATTACATTTATAAATTGTGGTCTTTATTTTTTTATAATGGAAGTTAAATCTGTGCTTGGTGAACATGTGAACCATAACCCACGTCTCAAAAACGTTCGTGTGTATGTACAATAAAATGTAAAATAACATTGCACTTCATTGTATGATTATAACATCTGGGGAACCGTGTCTCTGACTTTTTTTATTTTTTTTTTTATTTTTTTTTTTGGGGGGGGGGCGTTATTGATAGTTGTCAGGCTACGCGCATAGCATGATTTTCAAAATTCAATTTTGAGCATAGCATATTCATTAAACATTTTCACATTAATGTTATGTTATACTGGAATATCTAAATCTCTATCTAAATCTCTATTTAGAACACTCAACACTAATATAAAGATGTACCCAACTATTGGCTATAGGAAATATATTTGTAAAGATATCTTCTTTTTTATAATTAACATTAGTGCATATCATGTTTGAGTCTACCTTGATAGATACATATGGAACATGTATAATGTAAACGTATATACCAATTCGGGTATAAGGTATCAATTTAAACACGGGACATAACAAGGGAACGTGTACATTATAGGACATTATAAACCTTTATTGATAAAAATACAGTAGAGCGAACTTCTGATAAAGACCACTTGTATTTAACCCATTACGCGATATACACGCCTTTTAACGCCTTTTTCACCCCTCCCCTTTTTTTTGTTGTCTCTAATGTTGAAAAAAATGAGGCCCCCAACACTTGTTTTTGTTTTAGAAATGTTGTTAAAGAAGTGACCTTTTTTTTCGGCGCGGCCCCCAAGCAAAGAAATTTTTGGACTTGTGAGAGACTATAAATGACCCCAGATTGATCATAATGTAACGTGTAACCGACGCTGAAAAGCATTTGACTCTATCTCAATCCATTGAGAAGTTGCAGCAGTTTGAAATCAATTTTGATGGAAAAAATCAAAGCAAAATAGTGAATTTTGGCAATTTTGAGATGTCTCCTCGTTGCCGTGGTAACAGAAAATTTAAGCCTGAGCATGTTGTTTCAAGGGCAATGATCCAGTCAACATTTGTGCCAAGTTTGATTAGTGTTGAAGTAGTTTTTATAGTATTATAGCAATTTGAACTTGTAACGGGAGACTTTTCAATGAAAACAGCCATTTTTCACAAAATGCTCATGAAGAAATGGGTTAAAGGGGATGTTTGGTGTCTCCCCTGGATGGCGTTAAATCTCAGGTTGAACAGTACTTACGTTTCACGACCTTCTAATAGGACCACATATGAATTCACATTCAAAATATTTTTGTTAGTATCTCGTGTGCGGGTAGCGTTGGTCAACATTTCATTGTTGCATTTCATTGACTGATTGCAAAACTTTACTTAAGGTTGTTATTACTATGTACATATGGTTTATAATAACTTAAATCTTAATATAAGAAAGGTTTGTTTAAACGATCACAACACTTACTTATCAGTCTTATTACCTTTGATGTTGCATTTCGCTTTTTCCCATTTCCCTGATGCTAAGCAATCAATATCCTTTTTGTTTCCTTCATATCCAGCGTCACATTTAACTACTGCTGATGATCCAAAAGTCGTACTACTCACTTTGTAAGATCCGTTGTCTAATTTATCGGGGCTTCCACAATCTGAATAATAAAGATGATATAGTATATTTTCCCATTTATTATGCAGCCAGTATATTAACGTGTATGAATTGATCAAAACTTTTAATTCAAATAAATCATTTAATGTTGAACTAAATTAACGAATTTGATAAATTAAGAAGAATTTTAATTTGTTACAAATATTTTTCTCATCTGTTGGGGTTTTCACAATCTGAATAATTCAGTAAATTTCCCGTATCAAAATGAATGTTTAAGACAAAACGTGAAACATTAAACAAAACATTATTTTAATGTCTTTAATACACCGTGAATATATTTCAGTTGCCTCTAGACAAACGTGTAAACTTGTAAGGTAGGTCTAAATTACCTTTAATCACACAAGAGGCTTTCTCCCAGTCACCTGAGGGAAGACATGTTATTGTCGATTTTCCTTTTTTAGGCTCATATCCGGCATCACATGTTAAAGTGGCTGTTTCCCCAACAGTTGTCGCTTTATTCTTATCAAGTTTTAAAGATCCTTTTGGTACTTTATCCAATCCTTCACAATCTAGAATGACAAACAAAATGTTTGAACAGAAGTATTCTCGTAAAAACTAAAAAGGTTATGTGATATATCGATTCAATATTAATCATACTTTTATACTTTTATTGCATACTCGTCTCGTGGAAGAAAAAAATCTAGTAAATACAGTTATTTTCTTCCAACAAGCCGTATAATTCAAGTGTTTCGGTTGTACTTTGGTTTGAATACTGACCTCTGATTATACACGTTGCCTTTTCCCATTTGCCTGTTACTAAACATTCAATTTCCTCAACATCTGGATCGTATCCATTATCACATGTAACTTTTGCTTTTGCACCAGCCTTTGTCTTCTTGCCTTTAAGCTCATATTCTCCGTTATCCAAAGATTTAAGTTTACCGCAGTCTAATATAAATAAGCAGACGATGCACAAATCACGATTTAGAAAAGAACATATCATTATTCATCATCTTATATACATTTCTCTATATATGCTATTCATTACCGATAGATATGTCTATTAAAACTCACTCCAGAAATTGCAGTTGTTTTCAATAATTCAGTAATAGTAATCACTGCAATAACTATGAACACTACTTTTGATTTTGGAATAAAGACATTTAAAGAAATTATATTATTGTAAATATAAATGTTACGTGTAAAATGTTCTTATAAATCTTCCGAATAACATTATATTTTTTCTCAATTAAAAGTGCAGGTTACGCTACTATAGTGATTTTTGTTTTACTTTTAAATGCATATAGAGGATATTCAAGTTTTTTCTATAAATACAGAATTTAAAAGAAAGTAGTCCGGCAAGACACCAGTGAAAATACGGAAAATATGTTTCACTGCAGTGAAAAATAAATTTTTACAGTGAAAATACGGAAAATGAAAATACGCATTTTATTTCATCAATATTTCTCAATATTTCATTTCGAAGTATATAATAAAAAGAATTATTCACTGTTAATAAACACAATACTTTATTCCTTACCTTTGACTTCTTCACATTTTCCAATCTTGCTCCAGTCCTCAGAGGCCTCACATGTTATTGTAACATCGTTGTTCTTTGCGTAAAAATCTTCTTCGCATGTCAAAGTTGCTGTTGATTCATATGTCGATTTACCTTTTTTATCAAGCTTATAAGCCCCATCTTTTATCTTCGGTACAGATCCACAGTCTATGAAAACAGGGAATTTTACAGATACCAATCTATATGTGGAAACGGGTTTTCACATTTTTGAAAAAAGGAGAATAAAAGCATCTGAAACTTTCTGAACGCCTCTTAGCATCAATCTATGCTCAAACAACCTTACGTTTCTTTAGACAAATTATGTTAGCCATTTACTGCAACATTTTGATTGATCTGCACTGTGGAATAAGTATGAAATAAATTAGTAGATGTGAAAAGCTGTTTCAAAATATTTTCACTTCTATTTAAATACATTTGTAATGTATTTGAAACATATTTTAAAACTTTTTCATACCTACGATATCACAACTGGCTGAGAGCCAGTCACCAGATGCCTCACATGTTATTTTCTCACTTTCTGTTTTATAACCTTTGTCGCATGTCAAGGTTGCCGTTGAACCAAACGTTGTTTTCTTTTCATTGTCAAGAGCAATAGAACCGTCTTTAACCTTTGGCAATTTTTTTCCACAATCTAAAAATACAATGTGCTAAATTTATAACGTGGAAAGCTTAGTTTAACACGATTTAACTCTATTATATGTTATTTAGCTTTTGGAGTGATATATGTGGATATATTACCTGCCAAGATTTTATATCACCCGAACCGTTATGCGAGGGTGATATTTTATCTTGGCAGGTAATATATTCACATATATCATTCCAAAACCAAAAAAAAAAAATTATTACCCTTCCCCTGCCGAGTAAGACAGTAATTCTTGTTTCAAATGAAAAGTCGAAATAAGATTCCCTTTAGGGTACCCATTCACTGCAAAATGACGTCATCGGTACTTAACGAATGTTAACAAGAGAAAAAGAGTAGTCTGTTCGAGACACATTTTGTAAATAATATCAAGCTGTCTATTAAATACTGATGAGAATATTTATCATGACTCCATATTTTGGTAAATATTTTCTTTTTATTTTACATTTGTATGTAAAGCAAATGACGACAAGTCAAAGTGTTATTACACTTGTGTACTATCGTTTCTATTATTACACTCCGCGCCTTCGTTTATGTGATAGTATTGTATCTGATGAACATGGTTACCTATAGCTTTGCATTCTGCCTCTTCCCAATCGCCTGACTCTTGGCATTCAATTTTTTTTTTACTTTCTTCGAATCCTTTGTCGCAAGTTAAAGATGCTGTGGCTCCGGAAGAGGTATCTTTCTTGTTGTCAAGTTTATAGGATCCATCTTTAATCTTTGGTAGTTTCGATCCACAATCTGTTTTAACATTAAAAAAACGGTACATTTATGAATATCTATTTATATCTACAGACTTCATTCAGTTTTTATTTGTGTCTCAAATGTTTGATATCATTTTGTTAAAATACATTTTAGAATTATTTATGTTACCCAAGCCTGAGAAATAAATGTTTCTGTCTGTATAAAGATCACACTAATCTAGTCTATGGACGCGTAAATAACAGAATAATTCTTTCCATAGTTTAACTTTAAAATTTACTGAACGTGTTTGATTTCACTTGTAGATTACTAGAAACTTTGTCCCACAACATATCTATCGTCAATTTACTTTCAAAATACCTTTCAAGCAAGCAGGAAGATAATGATAGATATTTGAGAGAATGTGTAGGCATATTCCATGTAATTATTTATCAAAATAACTGATTCATATACCGTCTTCAGAAGACGAAGGCCAAAGACGATAATAAGATTTAATTTACAGAAAGACAGAATGCGTATAGGTTCTCATAGGATGTACGGATTGTGTGACTTGTATATTGTCCTGACAAAAGGAAAATTGAATGAAAAAATATTATATAACATCAAAATTTTAAATAGATGTTCTGGAGAAAGGGGATCCCTAAAGATATGTTTGTTTGTTTGTTTGTTTGTTTGTTTGTTTGTTTGGGTTTGACGTGACACCGACAGAGTATAGGTGATATGGAGGCGTTCCAGCTTTACTGGCGGAGGAAGACCTCAGGTGCCCTTCCGTGCATAATTTCAGGCACGAACGGGCACCTGAGTAGAACCACCGACGTTCCGTATGCTAGCTGGACGCCCCTGGTCCATAAAGAGCTAAGATAACAAACATTTAAACGTTAAATGAAAATGAAAATCAGAATTTAATGGTTATAATCAAGACACAATTTCTGTCTGCAAAGTGTCAAATGTTTCATGGTACAAAAGCATATACATATGTATTTAAATTAGAATAACGGTCCACCTTTAGAAGTTATTAAACAACTCTAGTAACGTCTGTTCAGAAAACAACGACAGAAACAGAAAGCATTAAAATAAATGTAATCACGGAAAATTTGAAAATAATGTCTTCAATACCATATTTAAACTTCCTTAGAGAGTCCAAATATCTGTGTGTTTATATAAGATCTGGCTTTTTTAACAGTAACCTTTTTGCTGCATTTACTTAATTACTTAATTTTGTAATTGATTTATATAAAATAAATATCTTATATTATATATCGTGTATAATCAAATATCTTATATTCTATTAAGTCTAAAATATATTATATATTGCATCTTATACAAAATAAATACCTTATAAATAATATCTTATATAAGATAACTATTTAATAGTTTATATCTTATATAAGATAAATTATCAAATAATTATGAAACATTATAGAATTAATGGAATTAAAATAACTTTTTTCACATTTTTTGACATTTAACAAAGGTATACATACCAATTCCTTCGCATGTCGCCTTATCCCAATCGCCTGAGTCTTGACATTCTATTTTGTCTTTGCTTGCTTTAAATCCCTTGTCACAATTGACTGATGCTGTGGCTCCAACAGAGCTGTCTTTTTTGTTGTCAAGTTTATAAGAGCCATCGTCAATTTTGGGTAACTTCTTTCCGCAATCTAGATTGATAATGAAAAGAATGAAAGCCTTTAATTTAACTCAAAGGTAATTTTAGCTTGAATATACGAAAGAGCTGTCCTACTTCTCAAGGTATCAACTTCAAACTTCAAATGTATTGTTTCTTATAATCAACCAGACCTAATCTTATGTGACATGGTTCATTACTCAAGACACAATATTTCTAGAAATTACCTTAACTAAGTATTTTTCTTAAATTATCATTTCTACGATTACCCCTTTATCTCTTAAGGGATCAACTCCTAACTTCAAATATATGTTCCTTGTTTCCAGAATTGTCCACCCATGAACTTTCCTTTGAAAATGTTATGTTTTACTGCTCTTTATTTGTAAAGGAATCTAATACAAATTTCAAATATGTGTTCCTTAAGAGCAACCGCATCATATGTGACAAGGTTTTTAACCCTAGCTAATCTTAAAAGTTTCCCTAAAATGTATCTTTTACTGTAACTTCTTATGATATCTTTTTTCAAACTTCAAATAAATATTTGTTTTCATCATCTACATGATAGGTGACAAGATTCATAATCCTAACACATTAGATTTTTCCTTAAAATACTGAATTTTTTATTTTTACTTCTTTCTTTCCTAAGGACTTTTCTACAAACTTTCAATATATGTTCTTTATCATCACCCACTCAGAATTACTCCCCCACCCCTTCCAATTTTTGTGATAAAAATGTTGTATTACTATAACTTCTTTATCTTTAAAGTGTATACTTTACTTTAAACCTTTGTTACTTATTATCACCCAACACATCATGTATGACAAGATTCAATACTCTAAATATAATAATAAATTTCAAGAATTCCCCTTTAACTAGGATTTTTTTAATAAAAATTGTGATTTTATACTCTTATTTCTATATTTCTTTAACTTTCATACCAACTCGCATATAATATGACAAGTTTCATAACTCTAGCATCAATATTTGCCAAATTATCTTCCTGTTAAACTTCATAAGTATGTTTGTTATCAAAACCTTTGTCATTAGGCCTACTAATATTTTACAGGACAAAATTTATAACTCTGGCATCTTTATTTCAAGAGTTATTTCCTCTCTGAACTTATTATATTACTGTAAGAAAATTTATACTTTTTTGTTACCAAAGGATTTACTTCAGATTTAAAATTGTTGTCTTTTCCATTAGAGCATAGAAATGTCAGTTTAACTTTTCTTTGGTCACATGCAAATTATATGGTGCAAAATTAATGAGCAGTTGGATGCTTTCTTGATACATGTACTTATACAATAATATTTTTTTCATAGCTGTGTTTTCATTTACGGTGTCTAGTATTTAGTTAATCGAGCGTCACTGTCTCCTCTGACAGCTCTTTTTGCAGTATTTACAGGAAGCTTAAGCATAACGAGGCATTTTATAATATATGAGCATAGTTTCCCTTTGTTTAACAATTCTGTCATTTAATTTCTTTGGGTTTTTTTTTCATCGTGTAATTAACATTGATTACACAATTGTTTTCCACACAAAACATGCGCCAATTTGTGTGTTTTCACTATTTTCTTTTCTTTGTTTTGCATGTCATTTGTGCATGTTGCAGATGTTTTGGCCACTGCTTATAATATGTAGAACGTATACTACGTTCTTGCAAGAGTAAACACTGAAAATTACAAGTTAATTGTTTGACTTTTTCATAACATATTTCTGTGAGGTAAAAGATATTTTAAAACTGATGACCATACCAATTAAATCACATGTCCCTTCATGCCAGTCGCACACAAAAACGTTACAATTAGTTCCCATTATTTTTAAAGTTTAATTTGTTTAATTTTTTTACGTTTAACGCATGGTTAAATAACATTTTAGATGCTTATCAACTGAAGAAAGAAGCACTTAATGTAAAATTATTTGTCATAAAAGTATCAAAATATAACCAGAGCAGCATTTTGACTTCCAAACAAAATACGACATTACTAAATTTTATTGATTACCAAGAAAACTATTAGCGAAATATGGTTCATGAGGTGAGTAACTGTATTGACTATATAATAGGACACGAAAAATAAAAATCTTCTTTTAAATGTAAATTAACTTATTTCTGGGACATTATGTGCTTTTAAGACAGTAACATCAAACGTGATCAAAAGTTTAATTTACGGCCGTTTTGTCACAGTTTGTCACATTTTGCCATACGTTTTGCCTTGTTTAACTTGCTTCGTTCTTAGCATTATATTTTTCCTCGTTTGATTTGACAATCTTCATATGACATCATGTACTTCTAATTCTATACAAATTTATGAGTATTGGCCTTCATAATCATAAAAATGATGAAATACATACCAAGTGAACCACAAGTCGCCTCTTCCCAATCGCCTGAGTCTTGACATTCTATTTTGTCTTTGCTTGCTTTAAATCCCTTGTCACAATTGACTGATGCTGTGGCTCCAGCAGATGTGTCTTTTTTGTTGTCAAGTTTATAAGAGCCATCGTCAATTTTGGGTAACTTCTTTCCGCAATCTATATTGATAATGAAAAGAATGAAATCCCTTAATTTAACTCAAAGGTAATTTTAGCTTGACATGGAATGAATAAAGTGAAGTGAAGTGAAAGAAAAAGATATAAATTTATCAAATTTGCATTTGAAAGAGTAATGCTTTTTCTTAACAAACGCCTTTGTTTCAAGTTTAAAATGAATATCTTTGACATTTAACATGCAAATGAAGACTATAATGAGCTCGTGTATGCGCCACGTCACAATTTTATAGTTGCTATCCGGAACACAGCAAATGTGATATTTTCTTGTGCAAACACAATTTAACCGTTTAAGCTTCACGGTGCACTAAACCTGGGGTTCAGTAAAAGTAATCATCTCGTTTAAAGATTAAATTTGTATGAAAACATCCGTTACAATACGGAAATATACCGTTAAATTAGTACTGCCACTTATAGTCATGTTTGTTGATTTAATACTGTTGTACGGATGATCCGAAGGCGGAGTTTCTCATGCAAACAGAATTTGTACATCCCATTTTGCCACAATGAGATTACCTATGTTTATGCTAATAAAACTCATTTCGGTTGTTTGGACACTAAAATAAGACCTGGTGTCGGTATAAAACCCAATTTATTAATGAAATGTCGCTATTGAGTTTTTTATGAAATTTATTAAATGTAACTTTAAATATTTATGGAAAGGGCAAAAAATAGTTTTATAATGTTGCATAGCATTTTGGATGCTTATCACCAACAGAAAGTAGCTCTTAATGTACAAATGTCTACCATAAAGGTGACAGAATGTAAATTGAGTAGCATATTCACTTCCATACAAAATACAAATCACAAAATGTTGATAAATATAAAAAAAAGCAAAAGATGGTTTAAGTAAGCAGCTTGTAGGTTAATGGTTTATGTAGACCAGATACAAAAATAAAAAATATGTCCGGAGCATTATGTGATTTTATGATACGTTATGTCAAACAAATCCTTGAACCAAAGTTGATTTTCCGGGCATTTCGTCACATTTTTGTCACAATGTTTGTTCTAAATTCATTGGCTTCATTCTTAGCATTATAGTTTCTCCTCGTTTGATTATACACCTGGGAAAATGTACTCTTCATATATTATCAGAGAATAATGATACATCAAATCAAAGGAAAATTTAAATAACTTTTTTTGACATTGAAAAAAGTAAACATACCAATTTTTTTACAAGTCGCCTCTTCCCAATCGCCTGAGTCTTGGCATTCTATTGTTTCTTTGCTTGCTTTAAATCCCTTGTCACAAGTGACTGATGCTGTGGCTCCAGCAGAGCTGTCTTTTTTATTGTCAAGTTTATAAGAGCCATCGTTAATTTTGGGTAACTTCTTTCCGCAATCTATATAAAACAAAACATAATAAATAAATTGAAAACTTTAAATAACTTAAAAACCGAGAAGGTTGCAATCTCGGTCTCATTGATTATGTTCATAGATGCAAGTGATTAATTCTTTATTAAAATATTTGTACTAAAAGATAAAAACTTGATTGATTCACAGGTCGCCTCATCCAAATCGCCTGAGTTTTATCATTGTAATTGGTCTTTAATTGCTTTAAAGCCGTTGTTGTTGAAAAGATACTGATGCTGTGACACCAATAGGGTTGTCATTTATTGTCAGGTTTATGAGAGCCGTCGGCAATTTTACATGATTTTTTCCACAGTCGTAAACAAATACGTCTCTCTTAATCAGTGTTAAGGTATTTTCATGTATTTTCTATAGATTCTAAAAGATTTCCTAGATAGGCATATATGTTTGCGCGAAAGTAATACTAAGTATGCACTACTAAAACTGCAAATTTCATTCTTCATAATCACAAACAGTCATAAAGTGTTTGGTACTCTGACAAAATATGTTATTAAATACACAAATCATAATAAAATAAATGATTAACTTTATTTAGATAAACATACCAACGTCTTCTTTTGTGTTTTCCTCAATCCATGATTTTGAAGAAACAACGCTTACTGCAGCTTTATACGTTACACTACAAAGACCACCATCTAGTGCGAATCCGGATATAACAATATCTTTTTTTCCGGAAGTACCAAAGATCGGAAGTCCATTTGAATACTAAAGAAATCGAATAAACATAAGAAATATTGAAATGTTTTCTTTACATAGCACCAAATGTTGTATTTCATTCAATAAATTTTTGTTCCATGTCTGTAATTTAAACATAGAATATGAACCAGTATATCTCTTACACATAATAGACTGTAGTTAGCGGCTGCATTAAACGTATTTACTTCTTCAATATTCATCACAGTTCAATTATTCATTATTTATTTCGTGGAAATCATATGAAGTAGATCCGGACCGTTCAGGCAAAAATTAAACAAATATATCAGTGAGATTAAAGTGATGTACCCACCGTGCACTCAGCTTCAGATGTGAGACATTCTTGAGACTTAGCATCGAAGCCGTCTAAAGGTTTGTTACATTTCTTTGCTTTATCGACCTCGAAGGAAATGTCAGTAAATCCTAGAAATAAAAAAATACCCTCTGAGAAACATAACGATATTTATCGAACTATTCCTTTCATGTTATAAATTTAAGAATAATCGATTCGAAAATAAAATAGCATTTTAAGTGATACCCACCTTTCTTCCCTGCTATATAAGCCACCCGGTTGTAACCTTTACTACTGCCAGCTATTCCTGGAAATTCGGTTTTCTCTTCTTTCTTTACTTTTGTCGTCAGTAATATTAACGAACCGTCATCACTCTAAATTGTAAAATAATCAATCAATATACAATATTTAGTATGATATGATATATCAATTATACTCGTACATTGTTACTACACTAGTAATATCATTCTAAGTGTTTTGACTCGTTTAGAAAGTTTTTGACAATGCGAACCTAAATTATCTGAGACTTTTTTTACCACATTGCATAAAGGAGAATTATTATGTGGATTAAAATAAAGCTTGGCAAGATGATAGGGGGAGGGGAGGGGATGGGGACATTTCACATTTTTCGGAAACGTGTGTTGTAAGTGGTGTATGGAAACAGATTAAGTTACTCGTTGTTCCTGCTGCTGAAGTTCTATTTCTGGTCCTTGCCCAAAATGTTCAATGTTTCTTTGTTTTGTCTGTTTTTTTTGTGTTTTTTTTTTGTATTTTGTTTTTGGTTATTTTTTCACACTTGACATAAGAAATTATATATCAGCACGTAGGTATAGCGGTGTTTGTTTCGTTATACATGTACTTAGATATCAGTTTTCTAGATTAATTATTAAAAAAGTTATGTTGTATGTTTTAATCATAAATATATGTCAAAATAATATATAAAAATACGCACTGTTTGAACGGACGAAATAGTCCTAGTTTCGCCACTCACACTAACTTTGTATTTTTTCAATGACCTATAAATACAAACATGTCGTTAATTAAGTAGTCATTCAAAGAAACATAACGTGTGACAAAAATCTTAAAAACCCGTGTCATAATGCCACAGAACTAATTTCAGATGCAGTAGTTCTAGGAATCTTTTCAATTAAAATGTGTGATAAATGATGAAATATTTTACTTAATATAGCTTTTTAGGCATATAAACTCGGAAAGACTTTCCTAAACGCGTTTGAATATTTATAATATATCGGTCTTACTTTGTGTTAACACAGCCTTCCAGTGTAAGGACAATTTCTTTACTGACTTGAACTCCCTGACATTGCACGTTTTTGCCAAGTTTAATATCTGCTATATAGTCTGATCCATCTGATACTGCGCGTGAAATTGTTGCCGAGAACACTGTGCTGAAAGTTCCTGTAACATATATAGATCATGCATTAGAAAATTGTTTGTGTGACTTGTATATGTAGGGACCAGTATCTTCTGTCCCGATGTGTTCAATATTAACAGTATCATAACAGCGCGTGCTGTCTTAATTTGTCCAGTGATTACATAATCATACAACGCGCCGTTTGTTGTACTTCCGTTAGCGACAGGGCGGCAAGGCGACAGGGCGACAACGCGCCGTTAAACGCTTTTTCGTGATGTCGCTAGCGACAACACGACGCACAAAAGTGTTCCAAATCAACCAACGTAGTCGTGTTGTCGCTAGCGACTGCACGACAAAGCCTCAAATGGCGCGTCATGTCGTCCTGTCGCTAACAAACCACGCCAAATGGTGTGTTGGCGTGTGGTGTGTTGTTGCGATGTCATATTGTCGCTCGGCTCAATTGGAAGGATTAGCTATTTGTATATTTATTAGCCAAGCAACCGGGAGACAACGCGCCATTTGGCGTGCTTTGTTAGCGACAATACGACAGTGTGACAACAATATAAGTTGTGTTGCCCCTATCGACAACGCAACCCGCAAAGTGTTCAATATCAGCCGTCATATTTGACAGTGATTTCAAATGTAACATATGAATAAAATCAAGAACAAGCCGATTAGGCATATGGTTAATTAGTCTAACCCTTATTAAGTTTTTATCGAGGAAAGAGTCTAAAAGACTTTTCTCCCAACATTTCCCAAAGTATTGTACTAAGGTCAATCGCCACAATTCGAACATTTCCGTTATGGTGCGTTGGCGTGTGGCGTGTTGTTGCGATGTCGCCCGGCTCAAATGGAAAGATTAGTATATTTATAAGCCTAGTTGTTCCGATTGGTAGCTTACTGGAAATAATTATACCTTAACCATTTGCGAGTACACATTCGAAATGAATATGAGCTCGTGAATGAATGAATTGTTAATTAAACAGAAAAGCATAGATCGTGACAAAATACACCTGTATCATAATGCATCTGCGAAATAGGTGCCTCAATTGATTTCAATTTGTTAATGGAAAAATTATCATAAAACTACACCAGAGAATAGAGATTTTGTTAGTTGCACGGTTAACTCGTTTAGATATAATTGAGCCGCGTAATGACAAAACCAACATAGTGCGTTTGCGACAAGCATGGATCCAGACCAGCCTGCGCACCGCCTAGTCTGATCAGGATCCATACTGTTCGCTTACCAACTCTATTACAAGTAGAGAAACTGATAGCGAACAGCATGGATCCTGATCAGACTGTGCAGATGCACTTGCTGGTCAGGATCCATGCTGGTCGCAAACCCATTATGTTGGTTTTGTCGTGACGCGGCTCATATTATTTATATATGTATATATCTGTATCGTAACTGTTGCTATGTATCAATTGCAGTCGAAAGACATTACAGATTTGTCTCCGATTTATTACAATTTATTATATTTATATATAATTATGTAAGTGTTAAAAAAAGAAGTAGATCTAAAAACGTAATTTAATGTGAGGAGTGAAACTGAAGTAACAACGTCAAATATTAGTTACATAAATAAAAGATACCAGTTTTAGTTTATTAATTGTTTATTTATTTATTTATATTATATTATTTATTTATTTATTTATTTATTTATTTATTTATTTATTTATTTATTTCCCCAACAAAAATGGCTTCCAGAAAACAAGAACGTTATGTTTTAATACGGAAACTTACAACAATGTGACGACTAATATAAAATCAATTAAAAAATATTGTCAAAATAAATAAACTTATAACATAAAAAATAGTAAAATGATAATTTAAAAAGTCAATTAAATTTTTTCAGAAAAAGTATATTTTTCCATGTTTTATGATATTTTCCCACGTTTTTTTATACTTAATATTGGACAATTGCATATCTAAGTATTCGAATTTAATTATTTCTATATTTTCAATTTAGTTTACAATTTTCCATTTAACTTAAATATTAAAAAGAGTTTGTTTGTTTTTGTTTGTTTTTTTCGTTTGAGTGAAATAAGGAATATATTTTCTCGAAATATGATAAAATTCCATATATTTTCACGAGCCTGAACGGCGAGTGAGATATATAGAATTTCATCATATTAAATGAAAATGTATTCCATATCTTTATTGAAAACCGAAAAAAAAGCCTTTTAATTTTATTTTACGTTTAAGGAAAAAAGTTCTTTACGTAATAGAAAGAGCACCGAAACACGAGGCTATCTGATTTGTACGAGGGGGCGTAGCCCCCAAGTTTTAATCAGATTGCCGAGTGTTTTGGTGTTCTTTCTCTTTTGTATCATAGTCAAACATAAAAGCACGTTCCCTGTTGTCACAATATAAAACCCCGGCAAAAATGAACCAATGAACGAACATCTGAATATGACATTTCTGTCGCTTTCCCTTTCTCTGCCGTCACAATATGTAAACCCCAGCAAAAATGAGCCAATCAATGGGCATGCTATGGAGTGCGGGTAACTAATACCCGCACTCTAGTTAACGCACCATGCATGTATATGTATACGAATTAACCCGGACACATTTTCAACAGAAAGGTCTCCAAACTATGATACAATGATACACATATTTGCCATGCAGTTGCAATTGTACATCGCGCAGTAATACATTTATTAATTATAGGTGTGTGACGTGGTTCCAATGCAATACACAATTTATCACAGTCATCTTGAACCGTTTGGAAAAACATAAGGAGATAATTTCCTATGATGAAATGAAGAGCTGAAGACACTGACGGCAACAGAGAACAGTCTGAGTAGGTAGTCCCAAAAATAAATACTTTTATATTAATTTGTTTTACAAAAAATTGTTGGTTTTTTTCCCCACAAATATGATATATATTTGGCTGATATAGCACAATATTTTATGGGTAAAATGTAATAATAAGCAATATTTTGATTGTATCAATACGTTCTTGATTTAATATAAGTGATTCAGTAAATTTCACTTGTGCTGTATAAAGTGCCTATTTGCAAGATCTTTATTTCTTTTATCCATGAATTTATTTACATCATTACGTATAATTTAACAATGGATGTCATTAAAACACTGCAGTAATTACATCAGAATGTATAGCTTATTAATATATATATATTAACAAGATTCAAGATTCAAAATTCTTTATTAAGTAACGTAAACAAGTTATGTTTCTTGTTACATGATACAATTAACATATATACATATTACACATGACAAATACAAAAAAAAGACATGAATGATTAAACTCACTGAAAACAAGTAAGCATAATATGAGCATATACAAGAGGATGAACTATGTACAATTACAACAATATGTGAGCGCATGAACATATGATAATTATTTAACACAGACATTTTTACAATACATTTACACCACAGTATCAGATAATTATTATACAATACCAAATAACGTAGAAATTGTTATATTAAATTAATACACATGTAAGTGATTACAGGAAGTAGCCTTAATTACTTCTAAGTATAGTTGTTTACAATGTTTTGTCTTATTATAAATGCTTCTCGTATAAATTTACATAGTTTAATTACTACATAATAGTTTGCAGATTGCATAAGTTCTATAAATTTAACAACACTTGGTCTGTAAAAATAAAATTTGTTAATATAACGTTTTCGAATCTGATTGTATGCTGAACAGATACAAATAAAATGATATTCATCTTCTAGGTCACCACTGTTACAAATCATACAATGTCTTTGGTTACGTTCAGTTCTATTATTACCATAGCGACCTGTTTCGATTCGTAGTTGGTGAGAAGATAGCCTTAACTTAGTCAATGGAATACGAAGTTTAAGCGGAATGTTATCTAAATAATATTCAAATTTAAAAGAATTTTTAAATAATTTATAAGTACATAAACTTGAACTAACAGACAATGTGGCAGTCCATGCCTGAACAAATTGGTCCGTTAGTCTTTGTTTGAATAACAAAGGAAACGTTTTAATATTAATAATATCAGGATTGTTCCATACATATAAAAATCCATTATTTTCTAACAAAGATTTTACTTTAGATACCCAATTTACCTTGCCTCTTTGACAATCATTTAACATTATTTCATACATCTTTTTAACTATAATATTTTCACTGTTTACAATTTTTTGCCAGTATTTTACAATCCTTACATATCTGTTAATGAACAGCGGGTATCTGCATAGCTCTCCATAATAGCCATATTGCTAGTACTTTGTTTGACAAAGAGTATTGGCTTACATAATTTTAAATGAATTCTCTCAATTTCTTTGCTGTACTAAAACCCCATATCTCGCTCGCATCATTAAACACGGAGCCAACAAATGCATCAAATAATTGTCAAAGGGTGCTTGGCTTTAATGACATGCCTTTGGTATTAGCAAGCAGTATATTTAATGCCTTTAAACCTTTACCAGTCAATGTTTCCTAATTTAGGTTAAAATTTCAGGTATAATTAAAAACTGTGCCAAGGTAATTAAAGTTAGAAACCACTTCTATATGCATATTGTTATAAGTTCATTTTTCATCATGCTTTAAAGGCCTGCGTTTTCTAAAACCAACAAATTTACTTTTATCCAGATTTACATATAATCCCCAGGTACTACAATACGTGTAATAATTAATCAAGATTTGTAAGTCAGAAGTATTTTTTCCAAAGGTGACCACGTCATCTGCAAATAACATCATCAAAACTAATACCAGAATTTATCATTTAGGGGAAATAAGTCTAAATCTTCTACAAAAAATGCAAAAGTAAATGGGACATTACCTCCCCTTGTTTTAATCGTATTAAACATTCGAAATAATCTGATAGGTTTTACAGCCTCTGACATACTTCGTAAAATATTGAACGTTTTGCCACCAACATTATAAGCTTAAACCACAGACCATTACGATATACACTATCGAATGCTTTTTTAAAATCGATAAAAGCACATGGCAGTCTTTCATTTTCATTTAAAATGTTACTCACAATAGCATTTAGTACAAATATTGCATCAATAGTTGAACGATTCTTACGAAAACCGAACTGGGCATCACTTACAATATTGTTATTTTCAACCCAATTAGAAATCCTTTTGTAAATATCTTTGAAAAACAACTCACTGAAGTAATACCTCTATAATTTTTACGTCCCATGGGTCATTTTTCTTAAATAAAGGAACGATAATACCATTCATCCACTGATCTGGAAATACACCGTTATCCAATATACCGTTAGAAATTTCTACTAAATGTGACATCAATATATCCGAAGGTTCAATAATATATTCATTTAAAAGATGATCACCCGCAAAGGATTTACATTTCTGCAAATGACGTATAACGTATTCAATTTCTACAGCCGTTATTGGAGAATCTAGTTCTTCAAAAATACATTCCTCATTTACAAAATTGTGCTGCTACAGAATTGTTCAACATTATCATTTGTAAACATCAGGCAAATCATCACTCAATTTAGAAAAGTATTCATAAAATTCCTGAGTACTAATTCCGCTATTTTCATGTGAATTCTTTTTCTTAGAAAAAAAAATCCAGAAATCTCCGGGTTTACAATGGCGCAGGCGCTCTATTTCTTTCATTTTACCTATTTTATATCTTCGTTTCTTAACTTTAACAATATTTTTATAAACAGATTTATGACTACACATCAATACTCTATTTTCATCATTTTTACACAAATTGTATACATTTACAGCTTTAACATATTCATTCTTTGCAATAGAGCATTCATTATCGAACCATTTCGCTTTTTTACAACTTGCATTTTTAAAGCGAGGCGTATCATATACAACATAATGTTTGTGAAACAGTGGTTCTGCAACATCATTTATAATATTCGTAAATTGTTCAATACAATTGTTCATTTCTGATTTATTTCTGAAGTCGGTATTATCAGTAATGCTATTCATTTTCGGTAACATAGAAATAAGACTACGCCTAAAATCATCACTGTTAGATTTGTCATATATTAACAAGGTGATAATCTTTTCCACATGAAATTATATCATAATGAGAGATTACATTAGATTAGTAGTATATTTTCATAATTTATATTTCAAATGAGATTTTCATTCATAAAATGTCAGTGAAACAATTTAAAAAAAACAAACTAGATAAATGAAGATAAATTTTGAAATAAAATATCAAATTAAAGAAGCACATACCTAGAACCAAGATTGTGATGAAAAACACAGGAAACGTCATGGCTGAGCAGTCCAACGTGTCTGATGCGCAGTTGCCGTCTGCGCGATCCTTATATACAATAACCATCACCTTCAGGCAATATAAGTGGGTTACATATTAACAGTAAGTTCATAACCTTCATGTCATAGTTGAAAATAAGATAAAAACTTAATTATCAATTACAATTTTGTTACAAAACATTATTGATCTTTACAACTGATGCTATCATTTTATCAATAAAATATAATTACATGTTTATACGTATATTTTACATATATCTATATGTGCAATAATAGTTATTAAGAAAAGCTAGTAATTTAGAGAAATGAATATCGATAGTGTTCAACCAATTCTTTTAATGATTATCGAACTTTGAAAAGCAGAAAGAATGATATATATATAGACAGAAAAATTTACATACTACTATCACATTTGTAAAATTATTTCAGATTGATTTAGAGTTATTTGATTATTATAAGGAAACACCTTTCTATCTCCTTTTATCCACTGTGGATGATCACGTGACCCAGATCGTACAATGGGCTCAATTAATGGCTGCCGGGTCGCTTGTATAAAATATTAAAATTGAGGTAAGCATACATTAAACGGTCAATCTATACCTGAAACGTGGTCGCACAGAAACCCTGTATGAAAAACATATACGGTCATATACTTTGTTAACATCTGAAAGTCAAAATGATGAGTACAATGGACAAACAGACACATATTGTCGTTGTTCTCGGAAAATTAAACGCATGTATAGCAATTATAGCAATAAAAACTTTAATGTGCAGAATTTTAATGTTGCCATTTATGAAACACTCCAGCTGTTTGTAAAGTTGCATAATACAGTTTCACTTCAGTGTTGTTTTATTTTTCTGGTTCTTCGGGATCATTGATTTCAACACTTGAAGCAAAATGATTACGATGGTCGGACGATTTAATTGCCTGTCACATCTCTTCAAGTCTCACATGGAATTGTTCTTGTTTTTCAGATCTAGACCTAAAAGCCAACAAATATATTAGACTTCACAGGAAGGTGTTTGTATTTTTTTGTTTTCCTGTTTTCTTGTCACTCGCGATCATTAATATAATGCTGTTTCGAAAGCACGAGAGTACGTCAGGTTACAAGTACATTTTGTATAAATATTGGGTAGAAATCATTTACCAACTCATTATTGCCTTCAAATATTTGAAAGAACTTACTGACTTTATCATCTTATAATATTAATCAATGTTATTTTATTTATTTTTTTATTTCAGATTAAGGGACAGAGACAACTGCTACTTTATCAAATGACATGCATATTTATGTATTTCTTATTTTCTATGGAATATCATATGCCAATAAAATCTTATTTTAACACGTTTCTTGTTAAATATCAATTTTCCTCGACTAATTATTGGTTAAAATGAGTTTTACAATTGCAATAATGCTTGACGTTATGGTCATAGTTAATTAGTAAAGTTAACGTCAACCAAGTTTCAAAGTTTTATTTTGTACAAAGGCCTCCGGCTCATATACAACATTTGTGCGGCATATAACAATAACATATGAGATTTGCAATAAGATGAAATTAATGAGAAACATACATGTATATAATACAGTTCTAATACAGAGGAAAGTACTTAGGCTTAAAGTAATAAATAGTTAAATTAAGGTATTGGATGCATAATTTACACTATTTCAAAGGGCATTTAAAACTTTATATTAATAAACTGTACTATATGCTGGACATAAAAACAAGAAAAAACAAAAGTTACCATCTTGTTTGAAAAAGATTGACAATTGATCTTTATGAAGTATAACTTTTGTATCAGTTTTATATAACAACAACAGAGAATATGTTTTTACTATCTGTAGAAAAGTTTTGCTAGTTTCATATTTTTCTTATTGAAAAGTATACATAGTTTTTTATATCTCGAATAAAACCAATGACAAATGTCTTTGAAAATATTTTTAGTTTATTGAGAAAGGACCTGAGGTACTTTATATTTTACATCAAATAAGAAGAGGATGGGGTAAGAAAACCTGTTAGATTTGTCATATAGAATAGGGGCATCAAAATATTTTTAGAAATGGTTATCTTGATACAAATCTAAACATTTCTGAAAAATTGAAAGAATGTTTTCCATGCCAATCTCAAATCATAATCATTTAAAGTTGTTTCTGTATCCAATTTCACACAATTCACAGTAAAAATTATGCATAAAACTTAATATTTTCTTAATTTCAGATTTTATATAAATAATAACAAAAAAATCAAAATCTGGCCAAACAAAAAGAAGAAAAAAGCCAAAAATTGAAAAAAGAAATGCCTCTTCTTGGGTTTGAACCCACTCCCTATCCACTCTTTGTCCTCACTGAAAATGAAGACTCTTCAGAAAGGAGATTCTGCATTAGACATCTAATGATTAGGCTCTCGCATTGTAACAAGACCAGCGATTGGCTAAAAAAAAGGTGCAGAAAGTCTCATGAGATTCATAAGTCTCTTTGATAATTTGTGACTTAAATATTTGCATTTATAAAAGTGTATGCTAGAAAAATTACCTCTTTTACATGAAGGTAGAATTAGGGACCATTTCCAATGGGAAAAGCAATGTGAGTGTCTGACCTTATACCTCTTACACTATCTGAATGGTAAAAATTCATTGCAATCTTTTTATTACATCTACGTTTTGAGTAGCAATCAACGTTTAAAATTTATGCAAAGAAGGGTTAGATGTATATATTTTGATGGAATATAAACTTCTCTGATGTCTTTATACAAAGGACAAAGAAATTTAAAAAAAAATGATATTCATTTTCATTTTCAATAGTATCTTTACAATATTTACAAAGACGCAAGTGTTTAGATATATTTGAATTTCTAGCAGTTTCAATGGCGAGATTGTGAGAACCTCTTAACTTCACGAACATTTTGCGAACATTACTAATAGTTAAACAATCAATATAAGTTTCTTCTCCAAAGGCCTACTTAATATAAGTATAAAAAGAATTCGGTGGTTTTAAATTACTTACACAGTCTTGTCTCCAAATTTCTAAGTATTGATCTTTAAACCTTAAAACATTTTCTACTTTTTGGCTTCCCAAACAAAGCCAAATACATTCATATACAAATTAGTACGTATCTCTTTTTCTAAAACAAATTGTAACAAAGTTTAACGTATCTATCTTCAGGAAGCCTTAACATTTTACAATATTTTAACCATATTTTAGCAGTATAAATATACATAAGATATCTACCTCTTCATTAACATATCATTAACTAGAATAAGAAGTAAAATTGAAGTTCCTGACAAGTTCCTGGCTACTTGAATAATCAAGGTTGGACTTATTTTAATAATTTTTACATTTCGTTATATTATTTTTAGAAACTTGTCCTGTCCAACTTACATATACCGGTTTGAATATCTTTTTTATTTCTTTAAATGAATGACGAGAAAATCGACACATGTGAGTCATCTGACCTGCACTGTTTATTGTATGTGACTGTTATTTTAACAAGCTATCTTTTTTCTTTATCGTATGTACCCATAATCCTATTAATTTCCTTACATGTTTCCAAGTAAATTATTATCAAAAAGAGACGATTCTCTAGCAAACGTGTTGTTTAATCATAAACACCACAATACAAAATTGGACCAAACATTTTTAAGGGAAAAATCAACTATACAAAATATTGTCATGTATTCTCGCGGCTTACTTTTGTTTTTTAGTTTACCTGTCTTAAGAGGTCTCATCACGGTAAAGAATTAAACCCAACTTTTGTTACCTAAGAAATAGTTCTTTTACTTGAAAACGTCTGATTTTTTGACTGGTCATATTAAGTGTAGCTTATTTACTGTAAAGAGTATTGAATAGAGTGGACTAAGTCCATAAAAACAACACACAAATATTAAATTCATTCCTTTCTTAATGATTGTGAAATTTTCAATACGTTTTGCATGTCAATGTCCTTGAAAGCACATAACTCAACTTTGTTGCCCTTTTTACAATTCCGCATAGTGCTTATTAGAGGGACATACCTCAAAAGCATGTCTAAAGCACAGTATGCACTGTGGGTTTCCCACTTTCTCTACTTTTTTTCTTAGCAAGTGTTGGAGGCATGCTTCCTAAACTTTAACTATTCTGAAATTACAAATGATTCATTTTAGTGAAGGTCTTGAGCGCTAAAATACCCTTATTTGGTCTTTACAACCTACGATAAACAACAAGTAAACATACGAGTACGTGTACTGGTATGGAATGAAAATAGTGCAACGCGATTGTGTCTTTTAAATATGAAGAAAAAGAACTGATTAAATATTTTAAGATGGCCTGAGTCAATTAGTTCTTAATCTTAAAAAGAAGAAAAAACACACAGGACCATTTACATTTTGTTATCAAGTTGTTTACATGGTCTACTACAGAGCAGGTATAATCATTAAAAAAGTCGACAATGTTATATTTGTATAATTTGTTCAATACATTGTCTTTTATATAACATGTTTTGAAAAATACAAGTCTCGAAAATATATGAAAAATATGTACAGCCGTTTTTCTCTCTCTTACTTGTTATAATTTCGTTTTATGGTGGAAATGATTTTGCATCACGTTTGCCAGATGTTTATTGTACTGTCTTTATTTTCGAATTATCCACGCGAATTTATTTTTATCAAAATGTGAAAAAGAGATTTTTTATAGGGACATGCGATTTAAGAAAACAGATAACTTGTATAACAAAACCTGGCAGCACGCTTCTCTTTTTAAGTGCTGGGTAGTTCAATAAAATCAATATAAAAGGGGGCATGATTCTGCAACTGAAAATAAAGTTAACGAAAAAGTTCAAAGTCAAAAACGGGGCATTACTGAGAAAACAATGATTGATAAAATTACCTGCCCTTTAGAAATGCATTCCAATTTAAATATATGTAACAAGTATTCAAAGTTTGAAGTGATTACTGATAGTGAACATGTATATAAGTTTGAAGTAAAAAGCTTTTAAAGGAAATAGACCTCAACAAAACGTTTAACTTGAGCTTAGTATCTTAGTTGAAAAAGGGATATAACTTTGCATAAAATAATTTTAAGATTATCTGCCCTTTTAAAATGGCGTCCTGACAATAAACTAAAC